ATGTATCATGTTAATTTATGACTTAATAACGATAATTAGTGTTCAAGTGTGTGTTAGAGTGGTTTATGGTGTATTTTTAAAGCAGCTGTGCTGTTAACGAATGTAATGATCAATATGACATGAGTACACTATCTGTCTGACGTTGATTTGTGTGTGAAGACTCAGTGTGCTGCTGTTTTAATCAATGCACCTCGTCAATGCAGTTGTCTTAATTGTGATTATCTAGAGACGTCTTTAAATAATAACAAGTTTCATTATTATTTGATGAAGAACTGTAAAGCTGAGATAAAACTGTTGCCAGTGATTAATAATTAGCCACTGGAAATTTTATAATTTTTATATATTAGTTACTTATTTTTTGGAAATGTAGTGAAGGCAATGGTAATATAAAATCAGAATTGTTGCCTGTTGGCACAGTTTGACAATATATGCATTAAATATAAACTGGCTATATGATAGATGATGTGGTCTGCTCCAAATATATTTTTTAATTTTCTAATATATATTTTTTTTAGTTTTGTAAAGGTTTCTGATGGACACAGATGGAGCATTTATATTGGCTTTGGCCTTGGGCAGACAGAGCACAAGTGTGTGTTAGCATATCAATATACTGATGAAGTGTTCAATCACATAATGCACGCTCTAATCCCACAGAGTCTTGTCCAGCGTCGTGTTTTAGACAAATCTGTTGATCAATGTTAACTGTGGAAATTCCAGGATTTGCTTCTCTGGCCATTAATGCGTGTTGAACAGTCGTCAATACTCTGGCCTCTGGGGAAGCACCAACTTTCTACCTCTTGCAATGATTATTAAACTATGAGGCAGTGCAAATCAATAATTGAACTCTGTCTGGACTCCTATGGATTTCTGTGTGAAAGCTCAGCTTGTGAAGCATGGGACAAATGGACTTTATGTTTGATTAAACATATGATAGATAGAGCGCACTTAGTGGAGCTACAGCTCTCAGTGTTGTACATACAACTGAACTGAGTGTCTGTTTTTATGGCTTTTTAATTCAACAAGTAATAATTAATGGCATTCACTAACAACGTTAAAGCATGTGCTTACATATTGAGCTGTGGTGCTCACACGGGCAGCATGAGTTCATATCTGTTCTGTAGTCTTTCCTGAGACTATCCCGATTTTAGTTTTCCTCTGAAAAAAAAGTATATATTATATGTCTGATGTAAAGATGGCTTGATTTGTGTGTGTTTCAGGAAACATCGAGTACAGCTGTCCGGTGGTGAACGACTGTGAGATCACTAAGAGACGGAGGAAATCCTGCCAAGCATGTCGTTTCCAGAAGTGCCTGCGTGCCGGCATGATGAGAGAGGGTGAGCTCCTCTGAAACCTGACACGAAACTCAAACTATTATTTGACCGTCATTTTATCTTTAGATGTTTGCTTTGCATGGCTAAAAATAACTTATGTGCATAAATGCCTAGAGTGGGATCCAAAAAGACCACTAGTGAAAATTGTTTTTTTTTTAATTCCACATATATTAGCAGCATAAAAGTGAATATTGCATATATATATATATATATATATATATATATATATATATATATATATATGAAAAAAATGTATGTATTATATGGTAACATTTTATATTAAGGTAACATTATTTACCATTAACCAACAATGAGCTATACATTTGTTACAGTATTTATTAATCTTTAAAAGTCTTACATCTTTTAAAGTCATAATTATGAGATGAAAAGTGGAAATTCTGACTTGTTGAAATAATGACATACTGAGTTGAAATTATGACACACTAGGTCAAAATTATGGCATACAAAGTCACAATTATGACATAAAAAGTCAAAATTGACATACTAAGTTGAAATTATAATGTACTGTCATAACTGTGACAAAGTTGAAATTAAGACAAAAAGTCATCATTATGAGACAAAAAGTTGAAATTATCAAAATTCTAACAAAAAGTCTCAATTATGACATATGACGAGTCGAGATTATGAGATAAAAAGGCAAAAAATAATTTTTAAATCTCATAATTATGGCTTGGTATTTCATAATTTTGACTTTTTATCTCATAATTGTTTTGTTTTTTTTTTCATAATTTCGACATCTCAGTTGTGTCATAATTTCGAAAAGTAAGTTATAATTATGACTTTTAAAGTCATAACCCCTACTTTTTTGTTTACATGTTTCTCTTATAATGACACGTGTGTGCGTGCGTGCGTGTGTGTGTGTGTGTGCGTGCGTGCGTGTGTGTGCGCGTGTGCGTGTGTCTGTGCGTGTGTCTCTGTGTGTGCGTGTGTCTGTGCGTGTGTCTCTGTGTGTGCGTGTGTCTGTGTGTGTGATCTCTACACGGCTCTGAGACACCTGACCTCCAAATACCAGCAGATGGGCCTCAACCAGGAGGAGGTGCTCACTCTCAAAGCCATGGCTCTGGCCAACTCAGGTATATCTATATATAAACCTCTTACATTACCTCTTAAATGATTAAAGTGTAAGCTTGAGATATATATATATATATATAGCGAGAGAGAGAGAAAGTAGTGACATCAGTGGTTCAACTGTAAAGTTACGAAGCTACGAGAATACTTTTTTGTGCAAAGAAACAAAAATAACGACTTTATTCTACATTTTCATCTCTACTGCGTCACTTGTAGACGCTCTGACCCAGATCCGGCGTGATGACGTCATGACGAAAATGTGGAATAAAGTGGTCATTTTTGTTTTCTTTGCGGAAAAAAGTATTCTCGTAGCTTCGTAACTTTACAGTTGAACCACTGATGTCACACGGA